TCATTTCCTATCATATCTAATGCATCTCATCTGAAGGACAGATGATACAAACAAGCTTTTATCAAAAATCTTGAAATGAACAACTTAAGTCATGTTTATAGTAGTAAAATGAATAAGTTTAACCGCACAGATTTTAACTTTTTTATTCCAAGTTTCACAATGATGGGATTTAAAGTGTCAAAAAATTGTATAAAGTAATACGGATGGTTACAGAAAGGTGGAATTTTTAAAATCCTAGAAAGTTTACAATTTCTTAATATTTTAGAAATTTATTATTCTAATCATTTACAACCAAATTACATGTAGGTCCAAAATATATACTAATCCAGGAATCAAGTTTTTGGTTTGTATCATTTGTCCTTAATCAGTTCGTTCCTTTTCGGACTTTTACAAACGATAGATTATATATCGGTTCAAAATATACGGATTTCCAAAAGTATGTTGAAAGATCTGGTCTCCAAAGACTACATAAATGTTGTGACCGTGGAACTAAAGCATCCTTTTAATATCAACTTCAGAGTACTTGTCTGTAGAATCAGAGTGATTTTAACAAAGTAATTTTGTCAATGACTAATCACAGATATGTACATGTAGTTCCGTTTTTGTTGAAGAAGCAGTTGTCTACGATATTAAGATGCCTTGTTTTTAATTTATCGTGAAGAATAGTTGTATATAGAAGTTATTTGTTTTGATGTTGCTGACCCTTGAAAAGGAATTTTTATGAAGTTTAGGAATCAAGGATAGGTAGAGTAGATCGAACCCACCTTCGTTAACTAGAATGTTAAAACTATTAAAGACTAAAATGTAATTTTAGAGACTTTTATCCTTTGAAATTGAACTTTAGGATTTCCAGACATAGAATTTAAACAAGTTCCTTTAAAATACAGTTGTAATAATGATCCTTACAAAGACGACATTGTTACAAGCTTAGTCTGCTGGAACCATAACATGTTGTTCAAGTAGTTTTTCTGATTCTTTTAGCACCTCCGATTAATATTTAGTGAATACGGAAGGAAAGGGGGTTCACGTATTGCCTTTTGACTTTTGAACACAATTCTTTAATATATTTTTAATCGCTTAATGCATTCTGACAAAGTGTTCAGATCTTCTCCTTCATATTTCACCAAACGTCTGTTACATGTATCAGAGACCGTCATTTCTTGCTATTTATTAAGACTAATTTAAAATCTGTCATTTTCTTATCTCACTTTATAACTGAATATATAGTTTTATAAACAGAATGTAATATCTTTGTGATGTACTATATAAAAAGGTACACATATAAGCATTTTGCTATGAACCAAAGGATTAATTGTTATCTACACAAATTGTTTTATTTTCATTATTTGATGAATTTCAATGAAATCAGTTAACTCTAAGCATCTACAACATATTATATAAATGTACTGTAACAAAAATAAAAATTTTAATAAAAGTAACGTACTCTACAAAAAAGAATGTTGGGGCATGTTTTTAATCACTTGTAATTTTCTAGTTTGTTTATTTAATTGAAGATGCTTAGGGCAAAGAAAGTGAAAAAGAAAGTATATCAAATGACTAGAAGCTGATCCTAGCAAGGCTAATAATATGAAACCCAGCTGAGGATAAAGTGAGATTCAATGGACAAATTGCGGCAATTGAAGTAAATAGACAAAGACCTTCTTGAAAGAGACTCAAAATCTTGAAATTATCAAATTATTATATCCAAAAGATGATTAGGCTTCTGCGCAAAACGTAAGGAGAGGTTTGGAAACCAGAGACATTTTGTATTTAAAAAAACGTAATTTTCCGACCCCCCTGTGACCCCGAGGGTGAAAATGGAAATTCCGAAAACCTTATTGCACATTTAAGAGGAGTTTTGGGAACTAAAGGCTTTTTGTATTTAATAAATCATTTTTGACCACCCTTTGACCCCCAGGGTGAAAATGAAAATTCCGAAACCTTATTGCACATCTACAGTACACCACCAATCACATTCCAAAAGGTGATTAGGCTACTGCGTAAAATGTAAGAGAAGTTCTGGGAGCCACGGGTTTTTGGTATTAAAAATAAACGTTATTTTTCGATCCCCATGTGACCTCGCGGGTGAAAATGAAAATTCCGAAACCTTATTGCACATCTATACGACACCCCCAATCATCTTCCAAAAGATTATTAGGCTACTGCTTAAAATGTAGGAGGGGTTTTTGGAACCACGGGCATTTTGTATTTAAAAAAATGGTTTTTGAGATTGTCCCCAATGAAGCAAATATTAATTAGCATAATTCTAATTGATTTGAAATCGAATATATGCAAGTCTACTGTAAAGATCTTATAATATCTTTTATTAATAAAAATCAATCTCTTTTTGAAATAAAAATTATATGTTTGCATAATATACATAATACTGTAATGACAACAGAACCCCCCTCCCCATGGTTTCAATGTTCTATTTATAAATGTATGTAGTACAAGCTCTATTCGTGGATGCATCGAAAATAACAATATTATAAAAGTGACAATTGCTATGTAAACTATGTAAATTTTTTATGTTTTGTCACCATGTGGTTAACATAGGATCCGCCACATAAACATGAATCCCACACTGTTGACAGCCCCTCCCCACTCAAAAATATAAACAGTGAATCATGAAAGAATATCAGATAGAATGTCAATATCTAACTTCTTATTACTTATAATGATATAATAGCATAGGTTTTGTGTCTTAATCCCGAGTGAAGTGACGGTTCATTAGAATTCCCGCTCCCGTGAACTTAATTCAGGAATAATATTTTGTCACTTTTTTCCCAGAAGTTTTAATAAATTTTTATCGACAACAATACACACACCCAAATATATATATATATATATATATATATATATATATATATATATATATATATATATATATATATATAAATAATTTAATTTTAGTTGTAACAAGTCATTTGATTGGATAAAAGATTTCGTTTATATCGCATAACATAAGTTGCCTACGTCACAATGAGTTAAATCAAAAACGTATTACTCCGCTTGACGTTACATTTAAAATATGCTCAATTACAAGCCATTTTTGGAGGAAAAAATGTCTTATTGTCTACATTGAAATTAAATTATAAGGAATAAAGCTTATTTTAAGCTATGTTATACGATATAACATAACTTGGGGCAGTTGACGCTTTTTTTATAAACCGCTTCGCGTTTTATAAAGGTAAAATAAGCTTCATTCCTTATATATATATATATATATATATATATATATATATATATATATATATATATATATATATATATATATATATATATATAGCTACATAACGACTTAACATTTAATCTCTTGATTTGATCAAAAATCAATACTTTTTAAAGTCAATATAATTTATAGCAATAAAATCAATCAAATAAAAGAAAGTGCCTAAAATCATAATCAAACACCTAGATACAATTCAAAATATGTGTTATGAGTTTTAACACTTTATTTGTTGATAAAACATAAATATGTTTTACATATTAACGTCATAAGGTTACCTCTTATTTGTTATCTATATTATATACAGATATCCTGTAGTGACTATGCATTATTTTTGTCCTGACTACATGTATCTCATCTTGTCGAGAGTGTTATCGCAACAAAATGCACTTTTCTTGACTAGATAGACGAAATAGATATTGAAGTTATCTTGACTTGACTTTACAAAAAATTTATTATCTGGATAACATAAATATGCCACCTAATTTTCATATTTATTATATACTGGTACTATTTACATTAACATAACTGTGTAATTTAAGTTTACACATGTATAAACTAGAATTGTATGGCAAACTTTTGGTTAAAAATTTTGTTTAGGAAATCATTACTAAGTAGGCGAAAATGCCTTTCAAATGCCTTTCAAATGCGTTATGGCTCTGTATTAATTTTTCACTTTTTTGTCCAACTCTAGGCAATTTTCTCTCTTAAAAATAAAATATCAAAAATGACATCGATTCTGTTGCAGAAATTACACTTGTCTTTGGCGGATTGGGAGCGCCCTCACTACAGCTACAGTTATGTATCATTATAATTCAGCATAATTTTTCTCTTTTGTATGTTTGTAAATGTACATGTATTTCTTTGTGTGTTTTTTGCACATCGGCTTTCATCAATATATAGCGAGGCAATGTTCAAATCATTAATTTAACTTTAACTTGTTGGATTTTTTATAGGATGTTTAGAGAACGACGGAGTGGAATTTTTTGGAGTGCATTATGATAACGTTAGCAGCATAGGTGTAGAGGGAAAAAACTGCAGTTCAATGAGAGGAAATCATAATGCTGCCTACCATTTTATCCCATACACTTGTATGGTATGCCATCGCAACGCATCTAAAATAATTAAGCGTTTTATATTTTTACATATTTAACTTTATGTCCTAAAAATGAGCACATGTATGTACACATGTAACAAGCAACAATGATAAAATACAGGTATACTAATAGTTCAATTTGCATTGATTTTCTAGATTATTTTGCAATTACAGAATGTTACAATAATGAAATGACAAATACTTGTATATATTTAATGAAATAGATTTTATTTGTTATATATATTAGTGTCTCATTTCACTTCTCATTCAATTTTTATCTGTACAGTTACTGCACAAAAAATATAAACAATCATTTAATCAGGAACGCTCACACTCACATAGTGTAAGATACTGAGAACTCAACAATAATTTTTCAATAAAACTTTTCTGAATGTTTTTATTATATCTTTGCTCTTGAAAATAGATTCTTCGTAGACAAGATAGCCGTGAGTGAATATGTTGTCATGTAAAGTTGTAAAATTAAATTCATTTAAAAATACTTCGGTAACAAAAAAAATAATAGTAATAAATTGGATCTCTCCAATGCTTTGCTGTTATTCTTAGAATAAAACTGATGATGATCTTACCGCAACGATAATGGTTTACGACAAAGAATTTGACGGTACTCAAAATCCTGTGCCTACACCTAAACCTAACCCTAATACGACATCTACTCCTTCCATATTTCAAGGAGGACTAGGTTTACATAAATACGTCATTACGTGTCACAATATTCCAGACGAAGGAATAAATAAAACTGTCGCACACGTATTTCAAGAAAAGTAAGTACTTCTTTTTATTCCTAGTGACCGATTTATTACTTTTGATTGTTCGTTCAAAACTCTTCCGCAGGATAATGTTCGTATGTTGTCTTTAAGTTACAAGATTTGGCTGCAAAGCTTAAGGAGGTTGGATCCTGTTTTCAAAAGTATTGAGAATTTTTTATCAAGTATATTTTTTAAATCTATACATATAGCTTAACTAAAATTCAAAACCAAAAGTTGGGGTCAATGTGCTTCTTTTGGCGCTTCTGAGCAATTAATTTGAACTTTATGCACTGTAATTACGTCTAACACATAAATCAATGTTTCAAAGTTTTTTCTCTCATATTTTTTATCCAAATAAATTATGGGAACAAAGACAGTCTTTTTTCATCTTGAATAGACTCTTTAAAATTTGTGACAACAAAAAAAATTTCAAATTACTTTGCATAGTCAATTGTTTGACCTTTTTGCACTCAAAAAATGTCATTTTTCTGGCAGTAAAAATTTAACAAGCAATAAAATCATTTGAAAGTAATGACATTTTTCTGAATTTAAGCAGAATGGTAAAAATTATCTTGTATATTCAGAAAAGAAAATTAAAGGTTGGGGTCTGTGATGTTAATTTTTAGATATAACTAAAATAGTGTTAATTTAGTGCTACTTTTTCCCCAGGACTTTCACAATATATTTGCTATATTTGTCCAATATGATGAGAGAATTCATGATGGTCAATTTAATATATTATTTAGGACCAGCATAAAGCATTTCACTGTGCAAAATGACTCTGTGTGCAGGCTGCATGTAAAAATAGGAATCCAAACTTAACAACTCTGTAAATATTTCGAAAGAGAAAAATTGGTCATTTTCTTCTAAAAAACCTTCCGCCACGAAATATAGTTCCTCGCTTAATGCTTTCGATATTTCGATATTAATCATGTGGTTTTAATTGAATATAGTTTAATTAGCATTGTAGAATCCAAATCTATTGTAAGAACTAAAACATTATGCAGACTTCTTTAAACAGAGGTCAAGACAAAAATCTGCTCAAAAGCTCAGGAACGAACCTCGTTAAGATTTTTTTTAACGTTTGAATTCTCATTATAATCTGTAATTTTCTTCTCCTTATTTTAAAGAAACAATTCAAGTCAGAATATATATTTGTCTGTGTTCTTATCTTATATAAAAATTTTCTTCAGTGGATATCACTAAATTATCAAAATTAAATTTTATATTCCACGTGTTCATTCGAAAGTTGGCATTAGATCGTGTAAATATTAATGTTTTCATTTGTTCTTGCATTGATAATACATTTGATAAAATTACTTTTAAGTGAAATATAGTAAATAAAATAGCATTTATTCATATCTAAGTGAAAATTTTTTTTAACATTGTAGAGGAAGTTTAAAGTCTAATTACAAACTACACCTAAACAAAATTTATTTGAATTTGTAATGTAAATACACATGTATCTTAAAGGCATAATTTTAGTAATCATGTAAAAAGTTTACTGAAGTTGAATTCAGGAAATTCTTATTAGTGGTAAATATTGGTGAGTAATATTTTATATCCAAATACATGTTTTTCCTTACTCACAAAAAACGTACTTTCTTACCACTGCCTGCCACGTTTTTATCGTTTTCCAAAGTTGTTCAGCCTTAGATATGTTAACATTTATTTGATTTTGTAAAAAAAAAAAAAAAAAAAAAAAAAAAGGGGGGGGGAAGAGAGTTTGTTGTGGTTTAAAATGTCATCATGCTTAAAAATCACAAACATTTTTAACATTCATATTGAAAGACAATGATACCGAAAGCCATAATATTAAATACAGTAAATTACACGTATGTATATGTATTTGATATCAGAATATGAAAAGTATGAATATACTTCAGAGAGTACAAGGAACTTCCAATAAACTATAAAGAAGTTGAATCTGTTGAGATGCGCTTTAAAGCAATCAATGATTTTGCTGCTCCCGACATCAGTTCTGTGTACATTGGAGACGAATTCTACATGTTCATCAAATACATGGGAGGTAAGGAAAATAGACAATTGATTAATAAATAAATAACTTAAAAGAATCCTAAAAGGGGTATTCTGTTAAAATTTTATTTCAATTTTGAAAATTCAAATAAACTTTACTGAACACTGCTCTGAGATTAAGATTGTAGGAACAATATAAATTAATCTCTCTGTACAGATTTATACACTATACATTAGAAAACTGAACTTGTGCTTGATTGACTTGAGCACAATTCAAATTAAGGTTCCTAAATTTTTGGCATATTTATCTGACATTTTCTGCATTTGTTCTATAATGTACGGATATTGGAATTTTTTTTGAATAGCATCTTAATTTTTTCCATAGAGCAGAATTATTCAGTAATTCCTGAGATGTGTACAGCCTTTGGGGAAACGTGGATTTCAAAAGGATTCAAAACAGACCCAAAAAATTCAGTGGAGTTGTGGAACATTAATAAAAACAAGTAAGATTTCGATTAGGAATGTGGTTTAATTTTATTAAGGCATTAAAAAAAACTTCTTATATAACATGGATGGGGTCGATTACTTTTAAAAGTAATCGATTAAATTACGATTACTTTGGATTTTAAAAGTAATCGATTACAAGCTGATTACAGCCATTTCTTAAGTAATCAATTACATCTGATTACTTTTTCAATCCTGTAATCATGATTACTTATGATTATGAGAGATAACATTATTTTTAAAAAGTTTTTCTTATAAGTTCTTTGTTTAATGTTCAGGAAAGAAACTTTTTTTAACAGGGCATTATATTCTAAAATCAATACTCATTTTACACACTTTTTAATTGCATTTAATCATCATTTACATTTTAAAACTGAGTTCAGATCCGACTCGTCCGATTCTCTTGAAATTTTACCGTCTGACAGTAAAAATCTATCGATCTTTGTTTCTATCTTGTTTCAGACGTCTTGGTGGATTGTTTACTCATTCCTTGCACTAATTATTCAACTCTGGCATCTATCAAATATTTCATAAAATTCTCTTGATACCCTAGCCACTGAGCTTCTAAATTCCCCAGCATAAAGGGTAAGCCACCCATTTGTGGAGGGAAAAACGTGTGCCAAGTCATCAAGTTATGCTTGTATATATTGATTCACGTCCGCCCGTTTTTCCTTGAATATGCAAATAAAGAGAACCCTTTTGTAGTAGTCCAAAACGTATTCAATTTCTTGATTTCAGCAATTTTAATTAAGTACGTATATTGAGGCTTAATGTCAAACTCCCATATTGTAGTTGTGTCTTGCAGAAGTTTTACCATTTTTTATAAAACTTTGACCCCATTTGAGTCCCATCCTAGGCACAAAGTCATGATTTGAGGCATGGGGACCACGATTTAAACAAACTTAATTTTTTTACGACATAAGGATGCCTTCGTTTAAGTTTCTTCTCTAGTAATTCATGGATTCTTAAAAAAAAATCTTAAAATGACTCACCTTATTTTTATTTATTGATTGCATGTATCTCTTCCTGGAATTCAATTTTTATCTACAAATAATTATAATAATAGATATGAAACTCTTAATTTCAGATGCACATGCAGTTATTTTTTTTTTTCGCTGTTTTAATAAAATTTTGAAGAGACAGGAACTCGTTTCAATGAAATTAGTTTTGTGATCAACACTGACAGAGGGAATTTTACCCAAAATATTCTCCAAAGTGTATACCATGCCTTAAAATTATAATTTAGTAAATTAAAACAATTGGTCAATTTGACCATATTAAAGGTAGATTCTGGGAAAAAGGACAATGTTTATCTAAACTATTTTTACTACACATACTAGTATCTTGAATGACAGATCGGTCAATATGTTCATCTTTTGTAGACATAAGGGATGATAATCACGTCAGGTGGTAAGAGCTGTCAATAGGTATTTGATAAGTTATCTTGACTTGTTATAAAAATGGATTATTCTTTGATAAGTTATCTTCACTTGTTATGAAAAAGTGATTTTCAGGTCACCGAAATGTATTGTTTTTGTCTGTCCTTGTCCCTCGAAAATATTTTTCTCTCGCATTTTCAAGCTCTTCTTTACAACCAATCTAAGTTGCCACAAAACAGGCGTTGGTGATTAAGTTTCAAATTTGCTCAGATGTAGGGCCATGCCATTTTTCGAAGTGAGATAATTAATAAATAATGAAAATAAGGTCGAGCAATTAAAATCTATCGAATCATATATGTTCAAATTTATATGGAAGCTTTCATATGGTGAAGACTGAAAGTTATTCAAACCATGTACCTGGGAGAGTCCCAAATTTTGCATTAAAATCGGAAAAAGCCTTTTAATATCAAGTCCGCAGGAAATGCATGACTGATATTCTCCAACTCATTTGCAAGCATTCCCATGGGGCCTAGAAGTAAGATCAAACCATTGGCTCCTCGGGCAGGTATGGGAGTTTGAAATTTAACATAGAAAAAAAGAAGAAAAAATCTTTGAAAATCTTTTCTCAAGAAGTACACGCCCTACCCTATAAATCTTCATGCACTGTGGATCAAATAATGGCCTATCGGGAATGAAGATGGCCAGTCTATTTAAAACCAGCCCCCCTTCTCAGTCCTGACGAGTGAAAGGAGAAGAGGGGCTGGTTTTAATCAGACTGAGGAATTCCCAAATTTTTACAAAGAAATGTAAAAGGAAAAAACTTTAAAAAAAATTTAAATCTCAAGGGCTAAAAACCATATATTGTCAAAATAGGTCCCTAGGAAAGGGATGCGCCACAAAATGCTTCCAAAATTATGCTTAAAATGAAAAGGGAAGAAATCTTCAAGTATTATGAGGCTATTATGCTGTTCCTGAGAAAAAATATTTTCCCTTTATATATGCATTACATGTATATAAAATTTGATCCCCGATTTTAGTCTAAATCCACGCCCAGATCCTTCTTTTTTTTAAAGAGCCTATACAACTTAAGAATGTTTGTGTATCAAAATGATTTATTGTGGCCCTGCTACTTCAATTTCCTCTAACGTCGTTTTACCAAGAGAAAATCTTAATTCCTCTTTTAACACCATCCTCACCCAGAGGTTCTTCATATGAATAAATATGAGCTTTCTCTACATTTTGATACTCGCAGATTAATAAATAAGTTCTCACTACACATTTTCATGTAAAACTTTTATCTCCTATTGAGTTCCTCCTTCTATATTTCATTAGGCCATTGTTTTAAAGGGAAAAAATAAGCAGCATTGCCAGAGGATGCTTGAATATTAATGTAATTAATGGTCCAATGGATCTTGAGATTTTTCCAGGCATACCATTAACATGGAATTAATTTGTAAAACTTTGATTACATGTTGCTGCCGCACCCTAGACCCTTGATTAAAACAAACTTGTATCTGCACTACCTGAGGATATGATTAATCATAATTTGTAATTTTCAAAAATTATTTCTTAGATTTTCCCAAGTACAATTTTGATCCCTTTGTGGTCCCACTTTACCCACTTGGGCCATGATTCAAACAAAATTGAACCTGCACTACATGGGGATGCTTGCATATTAAGAATATGGCATACATTTTCTGGGTAAATTTTGACCTATAAATGGATATGTAACATTTCTTGGTAAATTTTTACCTATAAATCAAAATGTAAAATATTTATCCCATATTGTTGCCGCACCCTATCTAAAGGGCCATGATTCCAATAAAATTGCGTTTGCATTATCTGAGGATGATTGCATACCTAAGACCATATTCATCAATCGATTTTTAAAGAAATTTCCTTTATATTGAATATTCTAACTTTGATTGATTAATTGTGACGTATCCTTAATTGTGACCCAACTTAAACCCCCAACCCACCTCCAATACGTCCTGATTTGAACAAACTAAAAAATGCACTACCTTTGAAGGTTTGCATATCAATATGATTAATGATGGCAATGCAGTTCTTGGGAATAAGAATTTAAAAGGATTTTTCCAATAAAGATTTTTTTTCTAAATAAAATATTGTTATCCCTATTGTAACACCATCCTGCCCTCGAGGTCATGATTTGAAGGAATCTTAATCTATACTAAATAAAGAAGCTTCCATATAAGTTTTGTCTTTTTCTGGCCCATTTGTTCATGATAAGAATATAAATATCCTATTATACGAGGGCCGTTCAAAAATTACGCGGACTTGTTGCACAGAAAATATATTTGACGACATAATCAAGCAAAAAGTCGCAAACAATATAAAAGAATCTTTGCATATATGGACATCAAAATTTCATATCAAAATATTGTAAATTGGTATCAGTTTTAAGTTATTTAACAGGACATCCCAAGAAGTCACGGCGCAGTAGAACTTTCAACGTCACGGGCATTTAAAAAATGGGAGCTTTTATTTTCTCAATATTTGCCCTTAGTATTTGATACTGTATAGTTTTGGTTACCTTATCCACTCCGAATAAACATCCATATACCATTTCCGATTCAGCTTAAAAACTATAAAACTATCATTGTGTGTTTTAGTTTGTGTTAAACCCCAAAACTGCAGATATTTTTGAAGTGAAATTTGACATCAGTCGATCTCAATCACATTCTTAACAGCCCAGATCAGTGTTTTGTCGATGAACTTCTTCCATTCCTCCCGGATTCCCTTTTGACTAAGGTCTATCACTATCAGTCTAAAATTCTTTTTTTTACATTTTGTAGAGATGTGTCGGATATTCCGCTGGTTTACTACATGTCTCATTAGGATTATTTTGGGTCTCTATTGGCGTTTTCCCAGCATGATTCATGATTTGATAAAAGTGCGCTGCTCCGTCAAATCACGAGACGTCATTTTTGCAGTTGATTTCGTAGGGTCACATCGGATTGATTGATTGATTGTATATTGTTTTACGTCCCATTCGAGAATTTTTCACTCATATAGAGACGTCACCATATACCGGTGAAGGGCTTCAAATTTTGACCTTTACTCGGCACTCAGGGCCATTGAGCAGTGAGGGATCTTTATCGTGCCAACGCCTGCCGTGACACGGGGCCTCGGTTTTTAAGGTCTCATCCGAAGGACCCGCAACTTTCACTTCAAAGTGCCGAGCGCATGGCGAAGGAACAGTTGCTACCTATTTTTTATCGACTTAGGTCTGTCGCGGCCGAGATTCGAACTCACGACCTCCCGATCACAGAGCGAGCGCTCTACCGACTGAGCTACCGTGAACGGTGGGTCACATCGGAGAAAAATTACAATATTTCTGTTAGTACTTCAAATATTACGCCAGAAATCTAAATATTAAATGATAAAACAATAAAAAGAAATTTAGAGAAAATTGTTGAATAATATCGTGAAATATGGAAAATAAATGAATAAATTTTTGGATACCGCATGTTTGTTTTTTCAACATTTATGTCGTGCTCCGTATATCACCATCAGCAGTATCAAAACGGCAATAATTTTATAAGATATTAAATAAAATCAAAAGAATTTATTGGAATTTTTAAGAAATATGTTCCTGT